CTTTTTAGATCCCAGTGGCTAATCCAGTATTCACGGCATGGTGAAACCCAATAAATACTTGACAGTCGATTAACTGAGACCTTAGGCCCTCCGAGCTCTTAAGAGTTACAATATACACCTATCTTGCCTGATTTTTGGTTTGTGATTTCAAACTGTCCTTGCTCAGTTGTGCTTGAGTCTGAAGAGCTAAGTCCTAGGGGTAAGCTCCATTCTCTGAGACAGAAATAGTTAGGGTCCCATCCCTGAAACCAACTCACCCTTGATGCACCAACCCACCTCACTGTTCATCACCCAGGTTCATGCCTGGGAGCAGTTTGCTTCCTACTAATATCCCATTATGGGGGCATGTGACCAGATTATTTATGACTCCCATCCCAGGTAACTCAGGGGTATATGGGCCATACCATTTCTTGACCTCTGAAAATCTAAGCTTCAAATTCAGATGGCAGGAATAGAGCACAGAGATTTGAAAGCTTGCCTGTTCTCACTGAGCAATATTTGGTACAGCTATTGTTTCTGCTGGGGGAGAAGGGCAGGGGAACAGATCCACAGATGGCAGAATGGGGTGTAGCCCTCCAGAAACGTTCTCTTGGGAAGTGAGGGAGGGGGTCTGCCGATAACTCTAGTCACGGCAGGGCAAAATCGACTATTCCAAATTCTACAGTTGAGACCTTAATCTAATGGATGTGCCCTGGCTAAAGGTACAGCAAAGGCTGGAAATCATAGCTAGAAGGAACAAGGATCCTTTTGTATTCATTCACTGTCCCTTAGTTACTTGACATAGAATCAGGAGACTTGAGTTAGAATCTCCTGCCAGATACTTATTAGCTGCGTCACCCTGGGTATAATATTTTACCTCGCAGACATTCAGTTTCCTCATCTGTGAAATGGGAATAATAACCATCCATATACTGCTGACGTCACATGGTGGTTGCAAACTTTGGAGCTGTGTGACTAGGAGCAGTTGTTTTATATTACTGGTCTGTTCTCAAGGCTGATTATTTCTGGCATTATGAAGATCTCACTCTAACGTGCACAGACAGTGTTAGCATATGAAAACATTTGCTATGCTTAGTTTCCTGGCAAAAGCCAAGCTCTATAAGACAAGCACTCTTTCATTGGAATTCAGACATATTTACTCTAACACAAATTTGACTCTGAAAACCCTTATTACTTGAGGTTCTGTGTAGAGTATTTTGTCTATTCATACTTATGCAAATATAACTTCAGGACCCAATTTAGGATTGTAGGATCCCCAGTCTAGAGCTCGAAGGGATCTTAGGGGCCACAGAGCCCAGTCCCCTCATTTTCAGAGGAGGAAACTGAGACCCAGTGTGGGGAAGTGACTTGCCCAGGGTCACACAGCTAGTATGTGCCTGAGGTAAAATTTGAACCCCAGATCTTAACAATTCCAAGTCCAGCACTACTGTGTCAAAAAAAAAAAATTACAAATTTTTTTTTAAAACTTCTCAATTTATACCTAAGCATACTTGTATGATTCCAGCCATTATTTCTAAGCAATTCGACTTGCTCAAGTTTAAGCTAATATTTGAATCTGTTACAAGCAAGCCTTGACAGAACCCATGCACAAAAGCAGAAATCCAACCACAGCTATCATTTATTTTTACAAATTAAGCTAATTAAATGTCAGCCTATTCAGGTTTGACTATCAGCCTCTAACAAAGCTAATTCTTAATTATTCCACAAGTTCCAACACATGTATCATTAACACCTAAAAGCAATGCTCTGTGAGATATAAATAGAGCAAAAAATAGCTCATTATTCAGCAACCCAACATTTGGTAACAATACCAATTTTTGTTTAGGTCCAAAATTTTCCAGTGATTAGATATACATTTTCATTTTTTTGTTTTTTTGTAGGCAATTAGGGTTAAGTGACTTGCCCAGGGTCACACAGCTAGTAAGTGTCAAGTGTTTAGTCTGTGGCCGCATTTGAACTCAGGTCCTCCCGACTTCAGGGCTGGTGCTGTATCCACTGTGCCACCTAGCTGCCCCATAGATATACATTTTCTATCAGGAGACCAAGAAGGAACCATAAACCAAATTGCAAAGCCTTTAATTGGGATAGAAGAGCGAACCACATGACGGAAAACTTAGCAATAGAATCCTTCTCAGAATCATAGTTTTAGAGGTAGAAGGGACCTCCACAACCATGTAGTATTCCGAACTATATGTGAAAGCCTCTGCACAGTAACATACCTGTTTAATGGCCATCTGGCTTCTATTTGCATACCTCTGGAGGCAGCCTAGCCCACTTCTAATTGTTAAGTTTTTCTTTGTTTTTAAGATATAAAACTTATTTTTAGGTTTTTTTTCAATTAACAAGTGTTTGTTTATTTTGTTCCTCCCTTTCACCTCCTAGCCATTGGAAAAATAAAAAGAACAAAATCCTTGTAATAAATTTGCAAAGTCAAGTGAAACAGATTCCCTCATTGCTATGACTCATTCTTTATCTTGAGTCCATCACCTCTTGCTCAGGTGGTGGGTATCATGCTTCATCACTGGGCCTCTGAAATTGTGGTTGGCTATTGCCCTGATAGAGTTCTGAAGCATTTCCAGATTATGCTTTGACTTACCATGTTATTGTTGTTGTAGAAATTGTTCTCCTGGTTCTGCTCATTTCACTCTGCATCATTTCATACAATTAAATCTTCCCAAGTTTGTTTGAAACCATCCCTTTGTCATCTCTTATGGGCCAATAGTATTGCTAGGAAGTTGTTGCCTTCATTGTTTTTATTTTTAAACTGCTATCAAGCCTAAACTCGCCTCTGCACTTTTTACCCTTTCTTCCTTGTATTGCCCTGTGGGACCAAAGAGAACCAGTTTAGTTCCTCTTCCATATGATGGCCCTTCAGATGCTTGAAGCCAATCTTGCAGGTTCCCTTTTTCCCCACTCTCACACCCCTCCCATCTCTTTTTCTCCAGGCTAAACATTCCTAGTTCTTCCAACTGGTCCTCATATGGTATGAACTCAAGACTCATTCACCATCCTGGTTGCTTTCCCCTGAGCATCCTGGGCCATCTCCAGTTGCCCTGATCAATATCTGACCACTAGATCCAGATGGCTCCGGAGGAGAAAGTGAGGCTGGTGACTTTGCACAGTCTGCCCTCACTTAAATCAAAGTCAATTGCAGGTCATATTATCATCTCCCTGATGTCATGGTCCTCTTTGAGAATGAAGGACATACAGAGCTTTCCCCTGGATTCTCTTCAGCTGATCGGTGTCTATCTTAAATTGTGACATCCCATACTCAACATGATATTCTGGAGATAGTCTGACCAGGGAGAGGGAAAAAAACTATTGCCTCCTTTTCTTCTCTCTAGACTTGCTCTCATTTGTTCACATAGGTTCAGTTGATCGCTCTCCCATCTATATACCCAGCTCTAATCTCTCTCTGGAACTGTAATCCTGCATTACCTGCCTGCTGGGCATCTCTGTAGCTGTCCCATTGGCATTTCAAAAACAACATATCCTCCTAAAGCTGCCTCTCCTCCAAACCTCCCTATTTTTCTTGAGGTTATTATCATCCTTTTGGTGACTCAGGTTTCCAAGTCCTTAGTCATCCCTGATTCTTCTCTCTCCCTCACCCTCCATGCTCAATCAGTTGCCAAGACTTGTTAGTTCTACCTGCACAAGATCTCTCCCATCCATCCCCTTTTCTGTACTCAAACAACCGCTTACTAGTTCAGGCCTGCATCACATCTCTCACTTAGACTGTTGCAATACGCTCAATTGCTTTCCTTGAGTTTTGTTTTTTTTTTTTTTAATAAAGGAAGGATTTGGGAGGGAGAGGATACAGTAGCAACAATAGTGATGAAAAGGAAGAAAAGAGTCATAATATCTAAAAAATGAAGATGAACAGGAGGTTAAGAAAGGCTAGAACAACATAACTTTGTAAGGTCTGCCTCCTCCCATTGATGAGTTACTCCTGGACCCTCCTTTGTGGAAGCACCTAGGCCTTCCTTCATTCCCTTCTTAGACTTGTTTCTCCCAGTCTTCAGAATCATGACCGCTAGTGGAAAGTTTTTCCTCCCTTCCCAATCCCCATCCCCTCTTCTCAGCTCCCTTTTGTGGGCTGAATATAACCTTGATACAAACATTTTTGTCTTCTGTACCCAGCTTTTAACCTGCTTGCCAAGTTAACAAAAACCAAAAAATTAGTCTCTGTGGTTCCAGTATCTCCCCTCTCCAAACCTCCTTCTATACCATTGGTCTCCAAACTTTTGCTTTTGTACCCCATCAGTAAAAAAATTTTGAGCATACCCCCATATATTTACTTATTTATGAATTATATACATGTACAACTGTACTAATAATTATGAATGTCATATGACACAAAATAGAAATGAAAAAGGATGAGATAAGTGAAAACATTTTTTTTTTGTTCTAGAATCATAGACAGTCACTGGCAGAGCAGGATGGGTGCCATGGTCTGAGCTGTGCAGTAACATTAATTTTACAGCTGAGTGGAAGATGGGCTGGAGTGGGGGGAGACTTAAGGCGGGGAAACTAACCAGCATCCTGTTGCAATAGGCCAAGTGTGAGGTTATGAGGCCCTGCCCCAGATGAGTGGCAGCATCAAAGGAGAGAAGGGGGCGTACAAGAGAGGAGTCTTGGAGGTAAAAAGGCAGGATTTGGCAACTGACTGGATATGAGGGAGGGAGACAGGGAGTCAAGGATGACACTGAGGTTGCATATCTGAGGAACTGTAAGAATTGGCCTTGATAGAAAGAGAGAAACTCCAAGTAGGAGAGGATTGGGGTGAGGGAAGATAATGTACCGAGATCTTTCTTTCACTGTTGTTGTTATTGTTCTCATTGTATATTCAGTGGAGTTCTGATAGGAACAGCCGGGGGACAAGTTGCTATCTTGCCCATGTTCTTTGATGCTTAATGTTCAGATCGTGCAGGTGGATAAAATAACGGACTTGCTATTGTTGTTACTGATGTTGTTGCTATTTTACTCAATTTCTTGACCAGAATCTCTAGTTTCTTCCTACCCTTGTGATGCATGGTGTAGCCCGTCCTCACCTATCCTAAGTGAAAAAGGCGGAGATGGAGTTCTTTCTCACTGGTCACTGCCCTGAATTGGAGCCTGTCTTCGAAGGGTTGACTACTATAACCAAAGGTGATTTAGGGCACAAGGGGTAGGTATATGGGTGTATGGGGAGGAGGGGAGGAATTTTCCTAGTGGCATCTCAGCTACTGTTGCTTTGGGGATCCAGGGCAAAGTTTAAATTGGAGACAAGTTCCACAATTGTGGGATTCCACCCACCCTCTGATTGGTTGGTCGGTCATGCTCTCCTTGGGATCAAGCCGTGGGCCTCCTAGGGCATCCCAGCCCTTATTTCAGAGACCATTATTCTAATCTAATTGCCAAGTGATTATTCCTAAAACACAGGCCTGACTATGGGACTCCCCCTGCTCAAAAGTTACCCCCTAGGATAAAGTACGAACTCTTTAGCCTGGCACTTACACCTGGCTCCTGCTTGTCTGTCCAGACTTTTACTAATTTACTAAGTATTCCACAAAGTCCAAGTCCAATCCCCATCTCCCATGCCTGCGCCTTTGCCAAAGCCATCTTTCCGACCAAGACCAGACACCCTCCTTGCTGCCACCTTTTAGAATCTCCCTTCCTTCAGGATTGGACTCAGGTGCTACTTCTTACTGGAAGCCTTTCCTGATGTGCCGCCCCCCCCCCCCTCCCCAGTTGTTAGGACTTTCTCGCTCCTCAAATTCTTTTGTATTTATATGTATTGTCCATAGACATCAAGCGAATCGAAACTCTGTCTTGGCAAAGGCTATTTAATTTTTGTCTTTGTTATACCCAGCTTCTAAATCAGGCTCTTAAACATGTCAGCTATCTTACAAGAGTTCATTGAATAGAATATTATTGTGGGGCTTCCTTATCAGCTACTTATTGGACTGGGAGGCCTCAGAGGGGCATTCCAATGTTGAGATCATAGGATTCCATAAAAATAACCCCTCTGTGCCAGAAAGAAGATTTTTCCTGGCATTAAAATATGTCTTCCTAGAAAGTGACCTTAACGTGGGTACCTTTTGCCACTTGCCTAGGTCACCAGCTCCCTTGCCCTTTCCTAGTCCTGACTTTCTTCAGAACTTGTTGCTGATTTGCAGTGTGGAAAAAGAGCAATTTGAGTTTGTTTCCCTGACAACTTTTCTTGGGGTAATAAGTCCATTCCCCCAAAAAAGTTAAAAGAAAATCACAACTTTCAGAGGCCACTGCCTAGTTTTGTAGCTTACCAGTAGGTGACATAAAGGGAGGACATGAACTTGAACTTTGCTGCTTTGGTGCCAACACTGACCATTGTCTTTGGTGGGTTCTCACCCTCCCCTCCCCAGTGTTGTCTCTGTTTACATTGTTGTAATCAATGTGAATGTTATTCTCTTGGTCCTGCTTCCTTTCTTCCCCATCACTTGCTAGAAGTCTTATCATGTTTCTCTGAACTCTTCATAGTTGGGTTCTTCTCATAGCATCATAATATTCCATCACAGTCATGCAGCACATTTTCCTAATCATTGGGAACGTAATCTTGTTTCAATTTATTTATTGCAAATAATATTGCTTTGAATATTTTTTGCTATACAAGTCTTTTTTTTAATTGTATTTTACTTTTTCCAATGACATGTAAAGATACTTTTCAACATTCATTTTTGTAAGATTTTGAGTTACATATTTTTCTCCCTTCTTTCCTTTCTTCCCCCCTCCCCAAGACAGCAAGCATTCTGATATAGGTTATACATGTACAGTCATGTTAAACATATTTCCACAGTAGTCATTCAACATTCATTTTTATAAGCTTCTGAGTTCCAGATACAAGGGTCTTTTCTTGCTGCCATTAACCTTCTTGGGATATAAATGCAGTCATGGGATTTTTAGGTCAAAGCACATGAACAATTGAATAACCTCTTGCTTAATTTCAAATCTTTAAAATACATAGGACCTAAGACCAACATGTCCTCATTGGTTCTCTGTGAAAGCTAGGATGACGAGGTACCTGAATGATATTGAAAGTTCATTTATATTCTTTGGGAGTGTTTTGATTATATCAATGAAAAAATAATGACAATATTTTCAATTCAAGCTATATACTCTCTTTCTTCCCAAGAAGCAGTGGGTAGTGAATTGGCAGTTTATTTTGTTGATCAAATAAGACAATGTATGTAAACTGCTTTGTGAACCTAAAGCACTATGTCAGCTATTTTTGTTGTTATTACTACTACTACTACTATTCCTTCTTTTCCTACTACTACTACTAACTCATAATTAAGTGGAGTTCAGGTAGAAAGTTTTTGGACAAATTTCTATCCTCCTAGTCTTCTTATGTTTAATATTTGGACTATTTGTGCAGATAGAGAAAATGATTATTAACTGTTGTTCATGTTATTGCTATTGCTATTTTACCCAGTTACCTAACCAGACTATTGAGTCTCAACCTTGATCACCTCACGGAACAGCCTCAGCTAGCCTTCCTGACTCCAAACTGTCTTGTTTCCAATCCATCCTGTGTACTGTCACATTTCCTATTTTTCTCTACATCTGTGATTTCATTGCTGAGGGGGAACTCCAAATGTGGAAACTCCCTCCATTATCACAGATAAAAAACTCATTTGTAATGTATAATTACCAATTATCTTTAAATACCACTTTCCTTAGACCTCTTTGCAAAAAATCTTCAGTTTTTCTTACTCCTACCTTGCTTTCAAGGACTTCCAAAGTCTGGCCCCACCCTCCCTAACCTAACCAGATTTGATTCCCACTGTTCTCCAATGTTTCCTCTTTACTTAGTCATTCCAGTCTTCTCAAATGGCCCACAAACATGCCTGGTTTATACCCACCTCTCTTCCTTGCCTTTATTCATACTTTCCTTTCACCTAAAATTCCCTCCCCTATCCACTCCCTTCCCCTTTGACTCTCCAAGTCCTGCCTTTTATTTTCCTGAATGGTATAAGGTCCACCTCCTTCCTTGAAGGAGAGCCAATTTAACAGCCCCTGAATATTCCAACTCACATGGAACTCCCTCCTTTTTCTTTGAGTTCCTCCAGCACTTCAATATTGCAGTAGCATTTGCTGGGATTTTCTCTTGTGTTTTACAAGTTTTGTCCGCCCAACTAGATTACAAACATAGGAAGTGCTTAATATATGCTCCCTGATGGGACTTTATCCCCAGAAATGAATACTTGTTGATTTGGCCAGATTTTCATGAGCCTCGCATTAATCTTACTTCTCCTTAAGACTTAAAGCCTTGTTGCTTTAGCTCCTTTAGGCCCCAGGCACTGGGAATAAAAATGATATGCTCTCTGCCTTCAGAATATTTCCAGTCTAATAGTGCAGATAAGACAAGTATACAGATAATTGTAATGGAAGTTAGACTATGACTGAATACATAGGAGAAGTCAAACAAAGGGGCCTGAGGGATTCAAGGAGGAAGGAAGGAGGAAGGGCCTTGGCTTTCATGTCATATGAGGACCAGTTGAAGGAACAGGACACATTTAGACTGTGAGTGCCTTGAGAACAGGGACTGTCTTTTGCTTATCTTGGTATCTCCAGTACTTAGCAAAGTGCCTGGCATATAGTAGGCACCTGATAAATGTTTATTGACTGACTGGTTGACATTTAACCTGGAGAAGAGAATAGTGGGGCTTGTTGTTGTTGTTGTTGTTGTTCGTCCTTTGTTTTCCTAGGGGACCAATGGCATCATGGAGTGGGTGAATGGAGATGGGTGGTGAGGCTATGATATCTATCTACAGATTTTGTTTTGTTTTGTTTTGTTTTGTTTTGCTTAGACAATCGGGCGTTAAGTGACTTGCCCAGCTAGTAAGTGTCATATGTCTGAGGCCAGATTTGAACTCAGGTCCTCCTGGCTCCAAGGCTGGAGCTCTATCCACTGTGCTATCTACAGTTATTTTAAGGATTGTCGATGTGGAGGAAAGATTAAACTATTTTGCTTGGTAGAACCAAGAGAAATGGGTAGGGGTTAGAAAGAAAATTTCCGCTCGATGTCAGGAATAGCTAGGTAACGATTTAAGCTGCCCAAAAGTGGAATGGGCTGCCTCAGGAGGTAGTAGGATCCTCTTTCCTTGGGGTATTCAAGCAGAGGCTGGGGGACCTTTTGTTGAGTGAGAATTCCTTTTGGGTATCGGTTGGACTGAGGTGGCTGCTGAGGTCCCTGCCGATCCTCCCATCCTGTGATTCTATGAAACATTTCTAATCGGATTGATCAGAGTAATATTAGTGGGTGAGGTGGTGACTCTAAGGTGGATTAGTGGATGAGCTGGACTCTAAGGGAAGGGTGTCAGCAGTTGAAAACTGGGGGATGGGATGGGAGGGAGTGTATGATAGACACTGGGGATGTCGTGGATAAGTGTACGGAGGTGGGAGAGGGAAGATAAGATCAGAGAACCCAGAGAAATAGAGTTTGGCTGGAACATCGAGTACTTGAAAAGGAAGTGCCATGAAATAAGACCAGCAAACCAGACTGGGGTGGGGGCTTTGGTTGGCAAGCTGAGAAGATTGTATTTTATTGGGTAAATAGTAGGGAGCCTCTAAAGATTTTTGAATATAGGAATGAGACAGTAGCATGAGGAAAATTACTTTGTCAATAGTGTGGAAGATAGGGATTGGAGATGGGAAATGCTTGGCTGATAGACTGACAATTATCATTGTTATTAATAATAGTAAACAACAACTTTTTAGTGGCATGGTAGTAACACTTCATATCTAACCATCCATTTAGAGAGCTGCTAAATGTTGTTGCAAAACAAGCAAGAGAGACTGATGAAACTTAGCCTTATGAAATTATCCCCTTGAACCAAGGACACCAGCTCAATTTCCAAATCTTTCCTTTCATTCCCCAGCCAGAAGTTATCTTCTTCCTATGAATATCTTATTTGTTTTTTCTTCATTTATAAGATTCTTTTTTTTGTGCTTTAATTTTTTTATGTAAATGTTTTTTGCTCCCCGACCTGACTGATTTTTTTGAGGGCGGGGCTTGGATCTTACTTATCTGTGTACCCTACAGAATTTTGTGTACGTTGGGTCCTTGACTTCCACCTGCTGCTGTGTCGTTTCCTGCCTAATCTGCATCCTCGGAAGGAAGGGGAATAATGGGGTGGCTCCTTCCATCAGACCATCTGACTGTATGCCTCTCATCTTACATTGCACTTTCTCTAGCCTGATCCTCAGCCTCCTTTGAGAAGAGGAATGGAATCCTCCTCTCAACAATGAACATTCTCGCACCTGTCCTACCATTCATAGCCTAGGGATTCTAAACACCTGTAAGCCATCATCCAAACCCTCCCCACCCTCTTCCTTATTTTGATCCTCCTCAAACCTCCTGCCCTAGAGTTCCAACCAAATACCACCTTCCCCTTTCATTGTGCCCTTGGGAATGCCTGTCCAAAGACAACAGACTTCCTTTCATCCTCTATCTTTTCCTCTCCCATTCCTTCTGAGCTCTCCCTGAAACCTGCCTGTTGTCTGGTGCAGCCCCCCTAGCCACCCTTTCCAGTACTGGCTGTGCTTTCTCTCATTCTTAGCTCACTGATCAAAGCAGGGAAGTCAGAACTTCTTGCTTCCCGTTACCACTTCCAAGTTCTCCCCTTTCCTCTAACACTCAGTAACTTCTCTTTCTTTGATGTTCATGCCTGTCATATCTGCCGCCTGATTAAAATTCTGATAGTTGTTGTTTACAGAACTCCAAGTCACTGTCTTTCCTTCCTCAATGCATTTGGTACCTGGCTCACAATCTTTATCTCCTCCTCAACTCCTGCCCTCATACCCGGGGACTTCAACATACATATTGACTCTCCTTCAGACACCCTAACCAGTCAGTTCCTCCACCAACTCACTTCCCATGACCTATTCCTTCACCCCACTTCAGCCACACAAAAGATGTTCATACTCTTGATCTTGCTACCACCCACAAATGTACCACTTCCATGTTCAAGAATTCCAAAATCCTTTTATCCAACCATAATCTATTAGCTTTTTCCTTCTCCCTCTGCCTTTCCTTATAAAACCCTACTCTTAGGGTTTACTGTCCTTAGCGTGACCTCCCAACCCTTGACCCCTCAATTCTCTCCCAGGGCATCTTCACGGTACTAACCATTCTCTCCTCTTTTCCCTACCTTGACCTTTAGTGAACCAATTCAACTCTACACTGTCCTCTTCTCTTGAATCCCTATTCTTTAGCATTTCACGTATAGTACCCTGCCAAATCTCTGCCTTGGATCACTCCTACCATTCATCACCTTAACTCCTACATATGCTCTGCTGGTGCAGAAAATCATGCAACTGTTGTCACTGGGTCCACTACAAATGTGTGCTATACAACCTCAACTAGGATGTCACCGCTGCTTGGCAAACTTTCTATACCTCCGTTATCAACTCGCTCTTCCAAACCTTCTCATCCCTCCTCAAACTTCCCACCCTCTCGCCTGAGAACCTTTCCTCATATTTTAGAGAAAAAATTGAGGCCATACACCGTGAGCTCCCTCTTCTCCCCTCTTCCTCATTTCCTATCATTCAGGTGCCTTCTGGCATATCTCCTCCTTCATGCCTGTCTCACATGATGAGTTGGCCTTACTCCTTACCAAGGCTGACACCTCTACTTGTTTAAGTAATCCCATTCTATCTTGTCTCCTCCAAAAGATTGCCCCCTCTGTTTTTTTTTTATTGATTTATTTTGATTTATCAACAATCACTTCCATAAGCTTTTAAGTTTTAAATTTTTCTCCCCCTCCCTCTCCTCCTCCTTCCCCAAGAAGGTGCGCAATCTGATATAGGCTAGAACCAATAGGAGGAACCACCAGAAAGAGGAAACAAAACATCAAATCTGTTGCCAAGGTCTATCAATTTCTCCTTTGTAACTGCTCTCGAATATTCTCCCTTTTCTCCTGGGACACTGCTATCACTCTGGGGCAGGCCCTCATCAAGTCACACCTGGATTATCACAATAGCCTCAGGGTGGGTCTGCCTGCCTCAAATCTCTCTCCGCTCCAAGCCATTCTCCATTTAGCCACCAAAATGACTTTCCTAAAGTGCAGGTCTGATTACATGCATGATTAATAAACTCCAGTGGCTCCCTATTGCCTCCAGGAGCAAACACAACATACTCTGTTTGGCATTCAGAACCCTTCATCACCTAGCCCCCTCCTCCCTTTTCAGTCTTCTTACACCTTACTCTCTACCATATGCTCTTTAACCAGTGACATTGGCCTTCTTCCTATTGTACAAACAAGACACTCCATCTCTTTCCTATAGGCATTTTCTCTGGCTGTCCCTCATGCCTGGAATGTTCTCCCTCCTCTTCTTTGACTACTGACCACCCTGGCATCTTTTAAGTCCCAATTAAAATCTCATTCCCCCCCTAAATTCTAGTCCTTCCTCTCTGTTAATTATTTCCTATTTATCCTGTATGTAGCTTGTTTCTATTTGTTTGTTCCCTCCTCTCCCCCCCACCATTAGATTGTCAGTTCCTTGAGGGTGGAGACAGTCTTTTACCTCTTTTTTGGATCCCCAGTGCTCAGCACAGTTCCTGGCCCATAGTAGTTGCTTAATGAATGTTTATTGATTGGTTGATTCCTCGGTAAATACTTGTTGAATTGCTTTGGAGATAGTGGGCATGCTTGCTTTACCTCTGATCTTAATCGGAAAGGTCTCTAGTTTTTCTTTTTTTTTTTTCCAAGTGCCAAGATCTTTTTATTTATTTTTATTTTTTAATTTTTTCCCACTTAATAATGTAATTTATTTTTTTCCTAATTACATGTGAAGATAGTTTTCAACATTCACTTTTATAAGATTTTGAGTTCCAAATTTTTTTCTCCCTCCCTCCCCAACATGGCAAAGCAATCTGATATAGGCTATACATGTACAATCATATTAAACATATTTCCCCATTAGTCATGTTGTAAAAGAAGAATCAGAACAAAATGGGAAAACCACGAGAAAGGGGGAAAAAAAAGAAAAGAATCCTAGTTTTTCTTAATGACATCTAATAGTGTTTCTTGCTCTTACCTAGATAAAATTTATCATATTAAGGAACAGTATTTATTCAATTAATCGGAACCAGTACTCAAGCAGCAGGATGGATTAGACTAAAGAAGATCAGGAACAAGTGTCTAAGTAGTTGTGAGAGAATTCTTAGACTTGTCCTTTGAAATATGCCCACTAGCAATTATTATGTAAGAATGATGTAATAATGCTTATACTATAAAAGACTTAGGGAAAGAGACATGAATTAGTCTGAAGACTCAACTTGATCCATGTTTGTGTGGAGATGCTGGCTGGATAAAAAGAACTACAAAATGAAGTCAGAAAGTATAGTTCTTCCAGGGTTAAATTACTTTCTAATTGCTTTTCTTCCTATTCAGTTTTTTCCAGGTGTGAAAGGCATATAACTATTTTATCAGACTCTCTAGAAGAATTACCTGAAACAGACGAGCCTGTTTGGATCTTGGGGAAGCAGTATGACGTTCAAGCAGGTAGGATTCTGAAGTCATCGGTGAGAACAAAATTAGGCAGAAGGCTGGCAGATCCCCAATATACTGTTAAAATAAGCTTCTCCTTATCTTTGGGCTGTCCAAAGGGTTACCTTAGGAAATGTTACTGCAGCTTTTGATTTCTGTTACACTGTCTACATGAAAATGACATTGCTACTCTGAAATTTTGCCTATGCCATAGTGCAGTCATACCAGTTCTTTCTGCTTGAAAAGTGACAGCCATTATATTTTTGCCTCCTCACCTTGGGTAGTGCCTGCTTCCTAGCTTTTTCTCTCTTTCTACCTAAATTCACATGCCTTGCTGATTATATAATTGGGTAGATTTGGAGCTGGTTATATGACTGTACCCCAAAAGTGCTCAGTAATGTATTGTGTCGATGCCAATCCAGAGAGAGAACTCTAGTGGTGGTGCCCCAGGGCTTTGTCCTCTTCATCTCAAATAGGTTGGTGATCCAAAGCTAATGTGCTCATAGACTGCACTGCTCTAAGAGTACCCAGAGTGAGGGAGGAAATAGTCCTGTTTTACTCTGCCCTCATCAGACTTCTTAGGGAGTATTGTGGCCAGTTACACATGCTGCATTCTAGGACAAGCTGGAAGACTTCCAAGTGTAATGGCTAGGCCACTGGACTTGGAGTCCAGACATACTGCCATGTGACCCTGGGCAAGGCACCCAGTTTTTCTGGTTCAGTTTCCTGATTGAAGAGGGTCAGACTGGATGACCTCCAGGTTTGCTTCCAGCTCTAAAGCTCTCATCCTAAGATTAGAGGAACTGGGGCTATTTAGGCTATAGAAGAGAAAGTTTTCAGGGGAACATGATTGCTATCTTCAGGTATTTCACTGAATCAAAGAATTTATGGGTTGGGAGGTACATCAGCAGCTAGCCAGTACAGTCCAATCATGAAGGGGATCCCTGCTCTAAGATACCTTTAGGCTGGCTTCTGCTTGAAGATCTCCAAGGGTGGGAAAGGCACCACATTTATTCCTCTTGGGGAGAGCCCGAAGAGTTAGGTTTTCCCTCACATGAAGCCTAAATGTGCCTCTTTGCCACATCCACTCATTGCTCCTGGCTCTGCCTTTTGAACAAAGAGAACAGGGTTAATCCCTCCTCTGTGTGGCAGCCCTTCAAATACTTGAAGACACGTGTCATGTCCCCCTCCCCCCAAGTCTTCTTCAGTCTAAACCTGCCCAGTTCTTTCAGCAGATCCCTACATAGGCGTGGAGTCAAGGCCCTTTGCCATCTTGGTTGCTTTCCTGTGGTTGTTCTGCAGCCTCTCAGTGTCCTTTCGAAACTGTGATGCCGAGAACTGAACTCAGCACCACAGATCTAGTCTGACTTTAGCCGCTGCCCTAGGTCTGAGTATCATCTCTCTGCAGATGATTCCCAGATCTCTATCTCCATCTCCAGCCCAATCAGTCCTCCAAACTGAGCTTCATTTGTCTATTGGACATTTCATACTTGCCATCCGGAGAAGTGTTCAACTCCACATGTTCCAAACTGATTCCATTCTCTTTCCCCCGAAATCCTTTCTTCTTCCCAAGTCCCTGTTTCTGTCCAACGCACGCCCATCATTTCAGTCTCCCAGGGTTGTAACCTTGACATTATCTTGGACTCCTCCTCACTTTCTTTTCTAGTCAGTTTGCCACATCTTGCTGTCTTGCCTTCTTTGCACTCACCCAACTACTTTCAAACCTTTGTCATCTCTCACATAGATTATGGCAACAGCTTTGTGTTTGGTCTCTCTGCCGCAAGTCTCTCCTCACTCCATTCTCTATGGTGCTGCTAAAATGATTTTCCTTTCTCTTCTATTTCGTTAACTTCCTATTTAGCTCTAGGATCAAATACAAACTCCTCTTTTTAGCTTTTAAAGCTATTCACAACCTGACCCCAACCTGTCTTTCTAGCCTCTTTGGAGATTATTCCCTGTGGTGAGAGCCATATCTCCCCCCCCCCCTCACATTACCGTTCGGCCGGCTTTTCTTTTTCTTTTTTTTTTTTTTTGGTTTTTTTGTTTTTTTGTTTTAGGCAATTGGGGTTAAGTGACTTGCCCCAGGGTCACACAGCTAGTAAGTGTCAAGTGTTTGGTCTGAGGCCGGATTTGAACTCAGGTCCTCCTGACTCCAGGGCCGGTGCTCTATCCACTGCACCACCTACCTGCCCGCTAGGCTAGTTTTTCTTTGAAAGGCTCTGAAATATTCCTTGAGGCTTGGCTGGCTCCTGAGTACAAAGCAGCTATGAGGGCCTGAAGGGGCTTTCAGCTACTTGACTGGTGGATCTTTGGATATCTTCTCAGCTGAATCAACTCCAGGGATTCTCAGTGCCCATCTTTGCTGAATGTCCTATTCCTGCAGCCGAATAAATCTTTTGTTAACTATCCAGTGATCTACAAAAGTCTCTTTTGTTCCAGTATCAGCCTAAATTAAGAGGGGACTGACCTGAGTGAGGCCCAGCCCACAACAAATGCTCTTATTAAAGCGAGGGATAGGCAATGCAGAATAAAGTATGCCCAGATTGACCTTCATGTTTCAGGTGGTGCTTTTGGTGATGCCTCAGTGGATAGAGTACGTGGCCTGGAGTCAGGAAGATTCATCTTCCTGAGTTCAAATCTGACTTCAGACACTTCCTGGCTGTGGGACTGTGGACAAGTCACTTCACCCTGTGTGCCTCAGTTTCCTCATCTGTAAAATGTATAAAATCTATAAAAATCTGTTAAAAGCTGGAGAAGGAAATGGCAAACCACTCCAGTATCTTTGCCAAGGAAACCTCAAATGGGGTCACGAAGAGTCAAACACAACTGAAAAAAATGACTAAATCACAGCAAAAAAGGAAAAAATGGGTTGCTTACTGTGAGGCATGCTCTACTTCTAGAAAATTAGAAAGCAACCTGCCTGTGGTCATTCAGCTAGAAGAGCACAATGTGTTCTGTGTCTGTAAGTGTACCTTAAAGATGATTTCAATAAACTGTTTTATGTCCTTCAGCTTCGGAGGGGTGGGAGGAAGGGAGTTCTTCATGGTTATTTAAGCTTCCTCCAGGTTCTATTAGATCTTATCAGAATTCAATGTGTCTCCAAATCAGCCTAGAGGAACCAAACTTTTGGAATGGAGAAAGAGATTTTCCCCTGATTAGAAAAGGACAAAATCAGTAGAACTAGTTGTCCTCAGCTCTTACTAGGACTGCTTGCTAATGGTCATACTCAGTTGCTTTGGGGAAAGCCTTCTGATAAAAGTCCCCTACCTCCTCATATTTGTGTAAACGTTTGGTTTCAAATGGCATTTTGCAATGATGGTGCAGTTGACCCAGTGGGCCTTGGTTCTGTAATTGTATCTGGATACAGCCAGCCATTGAAGGGTGGCATGAGAAATCCCAGTAGTGAGAGAAGGCAAACAAAGGCAGATCCATGGAATGTTAGGACTCTCTAAGAACTCTGATGAGGAAACTGTTGGAGTTGTTTTTTGTTTTTAATTTGGAATTTTAGAAACCAACCACAATTTTGCCACATGGATTTTGTTGTGGTTCTTTGGTGCAAACTCGGGAAGACACTTGAAAGGACAAGGTTAAATTCTCCCCAAGAGCCCAAGGTCATTTCTAGAATTGGGAATATAGACGAATGTGCCAGTTGCACCTCAGTTAATTAGCTGAGGACAGATAGAGCTTCTATATCGATCTTGAAAGTTTTCACTCTCACCCCAGAACTGTGAACTGCAAATAGAGCTTCTAGTGAGGGACCCCTAAAGAGCACATAACTCAGGCCCCAGGATCATATCCCTACCCCCAACAGCAATGGCTTCTGCTTGTACTGGCCCCGAGGAATCTCTGGCCTTGTTGCTTTTTTTTTTTTTGGTTTATGTCTTTCCCCTAGCAAAGAAGGGCAGGACCCAGCAGTGGTAGTAGCATCCTCATGGCTTCTGCTGGGCACAGGAAGGCAATAGCAGTGCAGGCCCCCAGCAGCCTTCGGCATAGGGGAGCAGAGGCGGGCCTGATATAATTGGTCAGGCAGGCTTATGCAGTGCATTGCAGTAGTTTGTTTTTTGTTTTTGGCTAGGCAATGGGGTTAAGTGACTTGCCCAGGGTCACACAGCTAGTAAGTGTCAAGTGTCTGAGGCCGGATTTGGACTCAGGTCCCCCTGACTCCAGGGCCTGTGCTCTAACCACTGCACTACCTAGCTGCCACCCAGTGCATTGCAGTAGTACCTGGGCCAAAAGCAACCCAGCATAGGGCAAAAGAGCTCAGGCTCAAAGATATTGAGACATTTCTTTGGGCTTGGTTGGCTCAGAAGACTAATCATCTTCTATTGACTATGGACATCACTTCCTCAGCTGGAGTGACTCTTAGATGTTTGGATCTCAATGGAAGCTTTGCTTTTGTTGTTCATTTGTTTCAGTCATGTTGGACTCTTTTCGGTGACCCTATTTGGGGTTTTCTTGGCAAAGATATTGCAGTGGTTTGCCATTTCCTTCTCCAGCTCATTTTACAGATGGGGGAACTGGGATAGACAGGGTAAAGTGACTTGCCCAGGGTCACATAGCTGGTAAGTGTCTAAGGCAGGATTTGAATGCAGAATAATGAGTCTTCCTGACTCCAAGTCTGGTTAGCTGATTTAACTCAAGGGGTCGAATAGCCTTCTGTAATGGCTCAGTAAATCTCCTTTTGTAAATTGTTCAATGATCTATGACTATCTCATTTGGTTCTATTATTGAACCTAAATTACCAGGAGATTGACCTGAGTCACGCCCTGCCCAGAACAGTCCCCCTCCTGCATTCTGTGATCCAGCCAAACTCGTCCTCTCTCTGTTCTTCACATGTGACTCTCCATCTCCTGCCTCTATCTTTGCACTGGCCATGGATGGAATGAACTCAAGTCAAGTCAAGTGAAAAAGCATTTATTAAGTGCCTCCTTTGTGCCAGACTCTATGCTAAGTGCTGTTAAGCTCTTTACCTCCACCTCTCTTCTCCTCAGGATCCCCATCATTTCTACCCTAGCAACCAGTTCCTCTCTGTTTAGTGAGAATCAGATCCAGAATAGAATTTCTCCTTGTTGATTTCTTCACCTTTTGAAGGATGAAATTATCATTAAGGCAAGCTGGGAGGGCGGGGGGAGAGAACACAAGTGCTCCAGCAGATGCTTGGATAATTGAAGTCCTCCATCACTACTGTATCCTGTCTGTGTGCCAATTAAAAGGATGATTTGGGATTCTCCATAGATAGCTTCAATCTTCTTTCATACTAAAACTTTGACCAAAACCACTAACAAGACAAGCAACTAGATGGTTTTATTTTCACCTCACAGGCGTGGGGGTAGGGGTGGCATAGGAAGGGGAACAGGAGTCTGAGATAATCCATTAAAGAGTTCCCGTGGAATTGAGATTTTTAGTTGCTGTTTTCTCTATGCATCATAATAGTGCAATTTAACTGGTTCATTAGTTACCCAGAATTCTCATGGCAGTATTTGTTAGCAGATAATTCACTCTTACTTTTACTTTTAATTACAGAAAAATCCAAGCTGTTGTCTGATATCAGTGCACGTCTCTGGTTTACGTACCGAAGGAAGTTTTCACCAATAGGTAGGTAGGTCTGCTGCCTATTACGGAGAGCTCTGTATTTGGTGTTTGGAAGATCTGGATTCAAGTTCTGACTCTGCCTGCCACTTACTTAACTGTGTGGGCAAGTCATTTAATTTCTCATCTGTCAAATGGAGATGGTTGCCCTATCTGCTTCACAGTGTTATGAGGAAATGTGGGTAACTGCCTCATCTAAATGCACTTTAGGATTGGGCCTGGTCATCTTAGAGTATAACCTTTCTGAGTATGATTTATGTCCATTGTATTACATTAGGCAGACATTTTCTCCAGCTGGGGATTGTTTTTACTCCCAGGAATTAAATTTTTATTTTACTCTATGTGAGGAGGCAATGTTGAAATTTTAATTTTAAATCTGTCCAATTTCTAGGAAGCATAATATCCTTTCTTTTTTTTTTTTAATTTAAATTTTCATCTGTTCAAAGCCATCCATATTCCCTAAATAGCAGTGTGAGAGAAGGATTTTGTTGCCTCTGCCCTGTTCCCTTTTGGTCACTGGGAGTCAGTCTCCTTGACCTTGCTAGATCCATTGCTGTAGCCAGTAATCAGTTACCTCTTCTCCCCTCCATCTCTCTCCCACCATATACCATAAGGAAAGGATTCACCACTTTTTGTCAGTTGCTGAGCCCTTTATTAGTTCATCTTCTCCCAGATTTCTAGCAGAATTTTTTTCACTGTCATACTGGATGGGAAATACCACAGTGGTGGCGTTCCATTGACACCCAGAGAAAGGCATTTGAGTTCACTGCTAGTATTTATTTGGAAGCTTCCTTTACGATCAAGTGTTCTTTAGTTGGAGCAGCAAGTCTCATGTGATTTTACTGATTTGTCTTCCAAAGGCACACCACCTTCCTGAGTTTAGATATACTCAAGATTGACTTGGATCAGAGCTTTCTAGTCCATTCATGTTAGAACATCTAGGAGCCTCCCTAAACCTGAGGGCCAGTAGACCTGGCAAGTGTTGGTTTGGTCTTTTACTTGCTCCAATGCACCCGTGACTGGGTATCCATAATTACACTTTCTGTGTGTACCCTAAATTTCATTTATAGTTTGAAATCTACAACCTGAAAAACTAAGTCACGTTTTTTCAAGTCAGAGAAAGCCTGAGTTAATTCAGCATTCTCTTCACCAGTGGTATCAAACTCAAATAGAAATGAACTTAGAAAACCACAAATTAAGGTTATCCATATTGTATTATATTTTTATTTATTTTGTTAAATATTTCCCAATTGAAGTTTGGGCTGCATTCAGGAGAAGCTCTGGAGGGCTGTTTGACACTCAGCCCTTTACTTCTTTACCCACTCAGCCTCATATCAGTCAATGGCCAAAGCTCCTCTTTTTTTCTTGGTTAATCTCCCTCCAATAGCATGTGTTTATAAAAGTCCCCAAGCCTGCTTCTCTTTATGGAAAAGGTAATTCCAAGGTAGTGGATAGATACTGGATCCAAAATCCAAGCTACTGGTTTTGGAGTCAAGAAGACATTTAACTAGCTAGGAAATCTTTTAACCTCTCTGGGCCTCAGTTTCCTCATCTGTAAAATGAAGGGCTTAGACTTGATGACCTCTAAGTTCCCTTCCTGCTCTGAATCTATGATCCCATGATCCTATGAACCCCAGTTCATTTCAGACCCTTTTGCCAATAGGAGGAACGGGCCCATCGTCAGATACTGGCTGGGGGTGCATGCTGCGTTGTGGACAGATGATGCTGGCCCAGGCCCTCATCTGCAAGCACCTGGGAAGGGGTGAGTAACTTGTTCTACTGACCACTTAGAGGATATTCTGCCAAATTTACTCACTTGCTGCCGTATTTTAGCAGTGGGCTACAACTTTGGGGAATGCTTTGGACAAAATCAAGCATGAGTGCCCAAATGCTCCAGTGATGAAATCTGTCAGGAGCAGGAGACAGTTGTTTCTTGGTGACTCAGCAGACAAGAAAGTTCTTTTTCTCAGGAAGAATGAACAGAAACAGGGGTGCATGCCCGTTAGGATTTCTATCCTTTTTATTGTTGAGCTAAGTCCATCAGCAAACTGGTTAGAAAGAAGGCCATTATGACAGACTTGTTTCTTAACCTTGTTAAAATAAATCAAGATGGTGGCCAGTGGGATGCCAAAAGGCACTGAATAGCTAGCCTTGGTGAACACAAGTCAATTAGAGTAATTGGAGCTAGTGTGTCTTGTTTATTTTTCTCTGAAATGTGTCTCTTTTGGCCTAAGGCCAAGCGCCAGAGAAGAAACAGTGGATGTTTAGTTTTATTGAGTGAACAGATCCAGTTCAGTTTCACAAACACTTCTGGGGCACCTACTGTGTGTGAGATACTATGCTAGGTACTGGAGCTACAAAGACAAAAATGAAATAGGTCAGAGCTGTAGACAGATAAGTAAATCCAGAGTAAATTTAAGAGGGAAAGTCCACCAAATTGCTAGTAACTGGGTTGGAGCCTAGATGTTGCCAGGATCTGCCTTATGTAGGATGTGGCACCTGAGCTGAGCTTTCATGAAAAAGCTAGGGATTCTACATAGTGGAGGTGAGGGGGGAGGGCATACCAGGCAGGAAATATGGAATGTCATGTGTAAAGAATGCCTGACAGGCCAGGTTTACTTGAATGGGAGAGTGCATGTAGGAGAATCATAGGAAATAAGATTGCAAAGCTAAGTGGGGACCAGATTGCAGAAGGCTTGAAATGCCAGGCTGAAAATTTTGTAGCTTTTCTTAGAGGCAGTAGAGACTCATGGAAGATCTTGAGTGTGGGGCAGAGGTGACATGGTCGACTTTATGTTTTAGTGATTTCAATTTGGCAACTATATGGAAGATGGATGGGGAGGAGAAGAAAGCCTCTCCAGTCTGCCGAGATGATGGGACAGAGGCAGGGCCATGTAGAGACTGGAGAGAGCTGTGGACTGTCAGGTGTATTGTGGTCTCAACACTAACTAACTAGCTGGGTGACCATGGGTGGCTTTAAAGGAGGTTTTTAGTTGAGTGCCTTAGGGTTGTGTGCTTTTCCTTGGGCTGCTTCATGTTTTAATTTGTGATCTGGATAAAGGTATAGCAGGCATTATTAGCATGCTTTCAAATGACACGAAAGCTGGGGGAGATAGGAAACACACTGGATGGCCGTCAGTATCTAAAAAGATTTTGATAAACAAAACATTAGACTGAATCTGATATCTAATATTAAAGATAAATGTAAAGTTTTATACTTGGGTTCAAAAAATCAACTTCGCAAATATAAGATATGATAAAGGAGACTTGACAGCAATTTATGTCAAGATTTGGACTGCAGAATCCATACAAATCAACAATATGATGAATCAGCCCCCAAAGCTAATGTGATCTTAGGCACACTATGAGAAGCAGTGGTGTCCAGGAATTGGTTGATGATCTTCATTGCTCAGTCAATAAACATTTAATAAGCACCTACTATGTGCCAGGCACTGTGCTAAGTGCTGAGGATATAGAAGGATGCAAAAGACAGTCCCTGCCCTCAAGGAGCTCAAAATCTGATGGGGAAGACAATACCCAAACAAATATATAAAAAGCAAGCTATATGCAAGATAAATAGGAAATAATTAACAGAGGAATTAAGAGGGATTGTGGGACGCTTCCTATAAAAGATGGGATTTTAGTTGGGACTTAAAGGAAGCCAGAGTTGGTAGTCGGAGAGGAGGAGGGGGGAGCATTCCAGGCTGGGGGCAGGGGTGGGGGTTGGGGACAGACAGAGACAATGCCCAGAGCCAAGACATGGAACATCTTGTTCATGGAACAATTAGGAGGTCAGTGTAGGCCAGTGTTGCCAGATTAAATAGTAAATGCTACTGTGCTCGGCCTTGGGCACATAGAGACACAAAAGGAAACAGTTCCTACCCTCCAGGAATTTATACTCTGGCTGGTTCAGGCCACGTTTGGGGGATTGTTGTCATTTCTGCATGCCACAGTTTAGGAAGGTCGTTGATAAGCTAAGCAAGTGTAGTGTAGTGGAGAGTGCTGGACAAGGAGTCAGGAAAACCTGAATTTGAATCCCGTGTGTGAACCTATACAAGTCACTGAACATTGCTTAGCCTCAGTTTCCTCATCTGTGAAACAGAAGTAATAATAATACCTCTCTCATAGGGTTGTTTTGAGGATCAAATGGTCTAATAGCTACAAAGTGCTTTGCAAACCTTAAAGCGCTTTAGAAATGTTAATTATATTACTATTTAGTATTATTGTTATTATTGTCATCAGCTGGTAAACATCTGGATGGTTAAAGGCTTTGATAGCATGCCATATTAGGACTAGCTGAAAGAACTGGGCATCTTTAGGCTGGAGCGGAGAATAATTACTGGGAATCATGGTAGCTGTCTTCTGATATTTGAAGGACTGTCATGGATGAGGAATCCAATTTGCTCTGCTTGTCCCCAAGGGCAGCAGCTTTGGATAACAGTTACAAAGAAGTGAATTTAGTTTAATGTTAGGAAAAATCTCCTGCCAGTTAAAATTATTCAAAGTGGAGTGGGGTCCCCTAGGAGGTAATGGCTTCCCTTTCACTGGAGGTCTGCAAACAAAGGCTGGCAGACGCATTTGGCAGGTACGTTTTCAGATTAGATGGCTACTGTGGGCCCTTTCAGCACCCCTCATCCTGTAGGTCTGTGACTACGTGGTTTTGAAAGACCCTTCCAACTCTTATCTATGATAATGATTTTGTCTATTTAAAGTTTTAAGTTATAGAAACAACAATTCTTTTAGCCCACCTAGCTCCAGAAAGGAAGAGGAGAATTGGAAAAAGATCTGGGCAGGGGAGAGGGGGGAGCTTATGGCTAGGGCTCCCCAGGGCAATGAGGAAAGGTCTCACAGCTTTTGATTTCATCTTGGCTACTTGAGAGTGACCTATTTGTATGAGCCTTATAAAAGAAGCGTTCCAAAAATCCAGAGATTGAAGGCTTTTAATGCCCCTTGTTGGTGAGTTGGGGAGCCTAATTTGAATTTTGTTCCTATATCACAAAGAACCCCTCATTACCTTTGTTAAACAAACATAACTTTTTGTTAATGGTTGTGAAGGACTCCTATAGGCCATCTAATCTACTCCTTCATTTTACAAAGGAAACTGAGGCCCAGAGTATTCACCTGACCTGCCCAAAGTCACACAGGTAATAAGTGTGAGAGGAAGAATTGGAACTTGGGTCTTCTGACTCTGGAACTAGTGTTCTTACCACTGTACCATGCTGTCTGAACACATGAAGGCTAATTTGTCATCAGCCATAATAGGTCATAAAATCGTTGAGTAGCTGTGCTTGGTACTTTACCCACACACAAATGTAATTCATGGGATAGACAGAGGATTCCACAAGTAAGGAAGAGAGAAAGAGAAGTCTTCTCTAAGACTTCCCCAGCCTTTTCTCCAATTCCCCTCTTCTTTTGGGGGCTAGATGGGCTAAAGCTTATTGGAATTTTTCTGGTACAGAGATAGGAGATTTAAACGTAAAGATTTCATAGATATATGTATGGCATGATATCTGGTGTGGTCTAAACCAGAGGGGTCAAACTTGGGGCCAGTGGGCAGCAAAACTGGATCAAAAAGTCATTGGGAAATGTTTAACAAAATAAGTAAAAATATAGTACAACATAGCTAATGTTCATTTGTGGTTTTCTATGCTATTATGCAGCCCGGAGGGATCTGCTTCTATTTGAGCTTGACCCCAGTGGAAACTGGGGCAGGTAGGTGGCGCTGCGGTGGATGGAGCACTGGGCCTGGAGTTCAAATTTGATTTCAGACACTTACTAGGTGTGTGACCCTGGGCAAGTCACTTCACCCTGTCTTCCTCAGCTTCTCAATCTGTAAAATGAGCTGGAGAAGGAAATGGCAAACCACTCCGGTATCTTTGCCAAGAAAACCCCAAATGGAGTCATGGAGAATCATCAGACATGACAGAAAAACAACACAAAACCCAGTGAATTTTTTTTTTTTTTTTTTTTTTTTTAGGATTCTCAACCCTTTAGCAGTTCTAGATGTGCAGGTGGGTAGGAACAGGCCAGGCATTTTCATGACTTTTTCCTGACTCTTTCATTTGATTTTCACATGCAGCCTGGCACATAGGCAGTGCACTTACTCTTACTGTGGTATTCCAGTTGAGCAAAGTGGGGTTCAGGGAGGTTAATGAATGAGGTGCCCGAGGGCCAGCTCAGAAGGAGATAGTGAAGCTGCAGCTTGAAGTGGCCCAGATTCCAGGCTGGCAAGCTGGCCACTGCACTTCTAGGGGGAGCTTCCTTCTCACCATTCATTCTTTTCTTTCAGAACATTTTTTTCCAGGCAGCTAGCTTAGGGCAGCTGGGTGGTACAGTGGATAGAGCACTGGATCTGGAGTCAGGAAGACCTGAGTTCAAATTTGGCTTCAGCCACTTACTAGCTGTGTGACCCTAGGCAAGTCACTTCACTCTGTTTGCCTCAGTTTTCTCATCTGAAAATGAACTGGAAAAGAAAATGGCAAACCACTCCAGCATCTTTGCCAAGAAAGCCTCCAATGGGGTCACGGAGAGTCAGACACGACTGAAAAAATGAACAACAACAAAACTTGACAATTCAGATTGTATGTTTAAGTGGAATGAATTGGCAAAATCTCTGTCCAGGAAAAATTTAGAAATGGAATTTTCCCCTTAAACCAGAGTTGGGAGATGTGGCTTATATAGCTTGTATTATTTTCTATTTATTTTAAAAGTTAGATTTTCTTGAAATTTTTTGTTTTTTGGTGAGAATATCAATAATTTCTGGTGTCTAGCATTTTGCTAATTAGTATCTCCTGAAAGCAGTTTACTAATTTGGTTTTTCTTTAGAAAAAAAAGAAGGGAAGAAGGGTTGCATTTTATCTTCTGAAAATTTCTGTGGACTCTAAATTTCAAATCTTCACAGAAATCCTGGAAGCAAAGGAAAAACTGGAGACACTTTGAAATAATGACTTTTGGCCTTTGGAGTCTGTTGCAGCTGTGAATACAAAAGACACCAAAACCTCAGAAGAGAAATATGTATCTTGGAAATCATTTTAGCCTCCATACTCTGGCCTATCACACAAATCTCCAGTCAAGAGTGGAAACAAGAGCATTTCCTTCATCATTCAAATGGTGCAGAATATTGCATCGATTTCCCATAACTCATGCATGTCCTATGTAAGGTTTTGGAGCTGTAGAATGAATGAATGAATGAAAGTCCTTTATTAGATTCAATTCAATTCAATAAACATTTAATAAAAAGCCTACTATGTGCTAAGCACTGGGGATACAAAAAAAAAAGGCAAAAGATAGTTCCTGCCCTCAAGGAACTTATAATCTAATGGGGGAGAACATGAAAACAAATGTATACAAAACAACCTATATACAGGATCAATTTACAGAGGGAAGGCACTGGAATTAAGAGGGGTTAGGGAAGACTTTCTATAAAAGATGAGATTTTTGGTGGGACTTAAAGGAAGCCATGGTGGATAGAGCACCAACCCTGGAGTCAGGAAGTCCTGAGTTCAAATCCAGCCTCAGACACATAACACTCACTAGCCGTGTGACCCTGGGCAACTCACTTAACCCCAATTGCCTCACCAAAAAAAAAATAAATAAAGGAAGCCGGAGGTCAGTAGTCAGTGGAGGAGGGAGAGCATGCCAGGCATGGGGGACAGCCAAAGAGAATGCTGGGAACCAAGAATTGAAGGGTCTTGTTTGTGGAACAGCCAGGAGGCCAGTGTCATTGGACTGAAGAGTACCTGGTGGGGAATAAGGCATGCGAAACCTGGAAAGATAGGGAGCTAGGTGATGAAGGACTTAAGAGTGCCAGACAGAGGATTTTGTATTTGCATGTAACTGGGGAAAAAAATAAAATGTTATTTAAAAAAAAAAAAAAAACCTCAGGGGAATTAGCCCGAGACCTCTGTGGTATTACCTATTTGTGAGACTCTTGTACAACTTTGGCTCTTTGACTAGGTCAGATTGCAGATTTAGGCTCTCATTTATGTTTAGTGACACCTTGAAAGGGCTGAACTTCAAAATATCAGTGGTCAAAATGAAAGATGCTTGTTTCTATTCAGTTCAGCAAATACCTTATACAGCACCTGTAGTTTCCTAAGCCCTGTTGTCACAAAGACAAAAATGAAACAGTCCTTGCCTTTAAGGAATCTATATTTTTTGAGGGAGGAAAAAATATATACACAGAGAAGTAAATACAGAGTAATTTCAGGGAAAGAGGGGAGAATGTTAACAAGTAGCTGGCTGAGGAGAAGCCTCACAAAGGAAATGAGACTTGAACTGAGCCTTCAAGGAGCTAGACATTCCTAGAGGGTGAGCGTTCCAGGGAAGGAAGACAACTTAAGAAAAGGCATGGTGGTGGGAGATAGAATATTGAGCATGAACAATGGCAAATCGACCAGTCGACAGGAACGTAGAGACCGTGTAAGGGAGTGGATCAGAGAGAATCAGCCTGGAAAGAGTGGTTCGAGCCAGATCATAAAGGGCATTACATGGCCAGCAGAGCAGTTTGAGGGTAGAAGCAAGGGATGGCTGCTTGGGATTCCTTGAACAGAGGACTGACATGGTGCAGTGCTTTAGGAAGGTCACTTTGGAAGGTATCAGGAGATGGTGACTAGAGGAAGGAAAGGTCAACAGTGCTATAGAGAGGTCAAGGTGGAGAAGGACTGAGAAAAGGCCATTGGGTTGAACAATGAAGAGATGGTTGGTAACCTTTGAGAGAGCAGTTTCAGTCGAGTGGTACAGTTAGAAGCCAGATGGAAAGGGGTTGAGAAGTGAATGGAGGGGCAGCTAGGTGGCATGGTAGATAGAGCTCTGGCCTTGGAGTCAGGAGGACTTGAGTTCAAATCTAGTCTCAGACATTTGACACTTACTAGCTGTGTGATCCTGGGCAAGTCACTTAACCCCGATTGCCTCATCAAAAAGCAAAAAAAAAAAAAAGTGAATGAGAGGTGAGGAGCTGGAGGCAATGAATGTAAACACCTTTCTATAGGAGTTTCAAGGAAAGAGAAATATAGGATGCTAGCATGAGAGGATGACAGTCAAGGGAGAGTTTTTTTTAAAGATTGGGGAATATCTAATCATGGTTGTGGGCAGCAGGGAAGAATCCTTTTGTGGCACGGACACTTTCCTTAATTGCTTTTTTATTAAAAGAAGAGGATGTTTTTAAGGGAAGGGAATGTGACATATCAATGACTATTGTTATTATCTTTAGTAATTTTTTTATTACCATTTCCCCCGTTAGATTGGTGTTGGGAGAAGCACCAAGAACAGCCCGAAGAATACCATCGAATCTTAAAGTGCTTCTTAGACAGAAAAGACTGCTGTTATTCTATCCATCAAATGGGTAAGGATGCGCCGGCCTATGGCTTCCATGCTAATTCCAGAGGGGCTGTGGGAAATCAGTCATCTTCTTGGTTAGAAGTCTTTGAAAATTATACGAAATTTAGTAGGTTGTATCTTGTTGAAAAATTTATTTTGCTAACTTGTTAATCTTCTCATATAAAAACAGCACAAATGGGCGTAGGAGAAGGGAAATCAATTGGTGAATGGTTTGGACCAAATACAGTTGCACAGGTGTTAAAGTAAGTAAAACAGACTAGCATTTATTTATGTGGTTGCTTTGCTAACTATTTCCCTTTTCTCCTGCTTCCCTTCACCCAACTCACTTCTACCCAATTGATCGACCTTATCCATTCACTCAGTCACTTCTGTACCCGCCAGCCCTGGCACCTTTGCACTTCTCTGCCCAACTACACTGTTAAGTAGGAAAATCTGTGTGTGGGCACATATGGCAGCTAGTCCACTTCACATGGATATTTGTTCCTCTGGAGACGCTTAATGTCTCATCACTGTTAATTTGCTTATCTGAGAGCATTACATTGCCAGATCTCAAATGATATTATAAAGCAGTAATCATCAAAACTATTGGGTGCTGGTTAAAAAACAGAAAATGTCAACTCAATAAGCAAGAGAGAGAAGCAGCTGCTAATAGTAGTATCCGTGGGTTTGCTCAATGCAAGGACACCAATTATTTGTCTTTTTGCCAAGAACAGCTTGGAAAATCAGAAAGCAGTTTGGCAGATATTAGGATCAAACAAATTCAAAATGTATACACTACCTGAATACAAAAGGTCACATTATATTAAAAAAAAAGAGAGAGAGAGAGAGAGAGAGAGAGAATCTATCCTTTCACAACTATAAGAAAGGCCTCATAATAAGCCTATAAGAAAGTCTCATCATGGGCCTTACTCAACAGACTTCTCTCTAACTGCTGATACTCTGCCTACCTGCCTACCTGGACTCACGTCTCAATGGTTAGCATTATACTTACCTTGTCCCGGAGATCTTAAACCTGGCTGCTGATGTACCATCTTCTTCCCATGCCCAGCTGGCAACTGTTTTACCCCTGTTTTCCTCAACCTTAGCTCTCACCGCCCCACCCCTCAGGGGCCCCCTCCAGATCTGGCCACCCCATCAACTGTGCTCTCAGGAATGCTCGATTCCTAATTAATGAACTTCCTTTCATCTTAAACCTCTTCCTTTCTCATTCCATCCAGTGTTCACTGAGACTTAGCTCCTTCTTTGTGACACTATTTGCTCTCCTGCCTGTGCTTTTTTTCTTATCACTCACCTCGCTGGTCATGGTGAGGAAGTCAGAATATTCCTTACTCTCCATTGCCACTTCCAGACTCTCCTTCTTCCAACTTTACTAAGCAAATTTACCTCCCTTGAGGTTCACACTATTCAAATCTGTCACCCAGTCCACATCCTGGTGACAATTATCTATCAACACCCAACACATTCTCCTTTTTCCTCTTAAGTTGTGTCTAGCTCTTTTCCTCTCCAATTTCTGCCCTCATACTCAACTGCCTCAACATATATATTGATGTTCCCTCAAGTATACTAACTTCCTAGTTTCCCATTCTACTCAGTTCCCATGACCTACTCCTCCACTCCATGCAGCTGGTCATATTCGTGATGGTCATACTCTTGATCTTGTCATCATCCATAAGTCTTTCATTTCCATGTTCATGAGTTCCAAAATACCATTATAATCTTTTATCATTCCAACTTTCTTTATGCTTTGATAACCCCTAGACTTGTTCTTCATCCTCACTGTGACCTCCAGTCTCTGTACCCCTCACTTCTTTCCCAGGCCATCACTTCTGCAGTGGTTATGCTCTCTTCTCTTCCCTATCGCAACCCATTGGTGAGCCAACTCAGCTCTACACTAGCCTCAATTCTTTGCCCTTCTTATCTTACTTGTAGAGGCAGCTAGTTGGCACAATGAATAGAGTGTTGAACCTGGAGTCAGGAAAACCTGAGTTCAAACCTGGATTCACTTACTAGCTGTGTGTCTCTGGACAAGTCACTTAACCCTGTTTGCCTCAGTTTCCTCATCTATAAAATGGGGATATACTAGCTATGTGACCCTGGGCAAGTCACTTAACCCCAATTGCATAAAAATAAAAAAAAATGTATATATAATATGGGATAATAATAGCACCTACCTCCCAGGTTTTTTGTGAGAATCGAATGAAATAATTTTTGTAAAGCACTTAGCGCAGTGCTTGGCATATAGTAGGCACCTAATAAATTCTTCTTTCATGGGGCAGCTAGGTGACGCAGTGGATAGAGCACTGGCCAGGAAGTCAGGAAAACCTGAGTTCAAATCTGTCCTCAGACACTTGACACCTACTAGCTGTGTGACCCCGGGCAAGTCACTTAACCCTGATTACCTCACCAAAAAGCAAAAATAAATAAATAAATAAATAAATTCTTCCTTCCTTCCTTTCCACACCCCAATCCTGAATTACTTTGATCATTCATCTCCTCTGCTACTATTTATGTGCTGGCCTGGATTAGTTACAAATTTATGTCCTACCATCTTCATTGAGCTCTCATTGCAGTAAGGCAGACGTGCTATTCTTCCCTTATGATTCTGTATCCCAGTCACCACAGAGGTATTATAAACCTTCCTGTTACCTCTCAAGCCTCCCAAGGCATCTCACCACCAGCCTCAGTGGTGGGCTGGCGCTGGCTCCTACCAGCTTGAGAGAACCAGTTGTCAGATTTTCAGTGTGAGCATTTATACCTCCAAAGTTGGCAAATGCCACAAGTTAGGGCTTGATATATTGTTTTGTTGATTGTCTACACTTAAGAAAGTGATGGAGAAAATGTTAATAATGAAGACTTAACTTAAAAGTATGTTGTGTGTACGTTTTTTTCTGAGAGCTGGTTTTTAAACATTTACCAGCACACCCCTGCTTAAAGCCAGGGACCTTGCTTCATATTTCACCAAAACAATTGTAGTCATTCACCAACACATTCCTCTCCTCCCCTTTTTCTCATCTCATTTCATTCAGATGTCTTCCCTTACTGTCTGTTCCTTCATCTATGTCTCATACGAAGAGATGGCCCTTCTCCTTGCCAAGGCCAGCCCTTCTGCATGCATCCTTGATCCCATCCCCATCCTTCTTCTTTAGCAGATTGCTCTCACTATATTCTCACTCTGTCTTTTATCTTCAATCTCTCTGGATCTGTTAGCTTCTCTGTTGCTTAGAAACACTCCGGTGTTTCTCTCATCCTTAAAAACCCTCACTTTATCCTGCTGTTCCTCACTAGATACTGTCCTACATCTCTTGTCCCTTTGACAGCCAAACTCCTTGAGAAACCTGTTTATACTCAGTGCCTCTACTTCTGAATCTTTTGCAATATGGCGACTTCAATGTCCAACCTCATTGTTCACCAGAATCTTCTCTCTTCAGAGTTACTAATGATCTCGTAATGGCCAAATCTAATGGCCTCTTGTTCATTTTCATCCTTGATCTCTCTGCAGCCTTTGCTATTGATCACCTTCTCTTTCTGGGCACTATCTCCTCTCTAAGTTTTCATGACACTGCTCACCTGGTTCTATTCTTTTCTGTCTGACTGTTCCTTCTCAGTCTCCTTTGCTAGGTCTTCATCTGTGTTATTATGCCCTCTAAGCTTGGGTGTCCCCCAAGACTCTGTCTTGGGTTCTCCTCTCTTTTCCTTCTGTGCTGTCTTATTTGATTATTTTCAGTGGCTCCTAGGGATTTAATTATCTCTATGCAGATGATTCCCAAATCTTTATATTTAGTCCTAGTCTCTCTCCTAAACAATAATCCTGCCTTTTGTACACATCAAACTGGCTGTCCCATAGGCAGCTCAAACCCAGCATGTCCAAAACAGAAGTGGTTCTATCTTCTCCATTACTGTTGAGGGCAAGACCATCCTCCCAGTGAACCAGGCTCACAATCTTAGTGTCATCTTCTACTCTTCAGTATCATTCACCCGATAAATCTAGTCCTTTACCAGATCTTGTCATTTTTACTTTTATAACGTCTCTTGGCTACCTTTCTTTCTCTCCACTCTCACAGCAACCCCTCTAGCTCAGATCTCACCACCTCGCCTCTGAACTATCACAGCTGCCTTCTGAGTACTCTGCCTGCCCCATGTCCCTGTCTCCTCCAGTCTATACTACACTCAGCTGCTAAGGTGATATTTCTAAAGTGTATGTCTAACCATGACACCCCTCTCCCCCGAGAACTCCAGTGGGTCTCTGTTACTTCTAGGATCAGATAGAAAGGCCTCAAGAGGTTTGGCATTTAAAGCTTTGTCATAACCAAGCCTTTACCTAGCTTTCTGCTCTTCTTACGTTTTCCTCCCTTCCACTTAAACTGTGATACAGCTGCATTGGCCTATCTGCTGGTCTTCCTCGTTCATATCGCTGCATCTCTTGTCTCTGTGCTTTTTTATGCTTGCTATCCCAACCTCTATCTCTTTGTTTTTCTGGCTTCCTTCAAGCCTCAGTTTAAATCCTACCTTCTACAGGAGGTATTTCTAGCAACCTCTTCTTCCCACCCCTTGCTGAGGTTGTAATGCTTTCTCTCCTCAGATTATATATCTACTGTGTATCTTGTATGTACCTAATTATTTAAGTGAATTTCATCCCCCTCCTCCCACAAGAATATAAGCCCTTTGAGGATGAGGACTGTGTTTGCTCCTCTTTGTATCCTCAGGCCACAACATTCAACAAATATTTGTTGACCTACTGTCCGTAGATAGGCAGTAAATTCTTACCCAAACCTGGGATAATGGAGATCACAAAAGATAAACAATTTCGACTATGTGAAATATAAAAGCTTTTGAATGAATAAAGTCATTACAGAGTCAATTTAGACAGAAGAGAAATGGAAGAGAGGCAAACGTATACGCATCAAGTTCTACCAGTAAAAGTCTGATATCTAAAATATATAGGGAATTAACATAAATATTTAAAACCAAGAGCCATTTCCCCATCGAGAAGTGATCAAAGGATATAAATGGTTTTCAGAAGGAAAACTGCAACCTGTAAATGTCCACATGATCACGTCCTCCAGATCACTAATAGTAAGAGGAATGCAAATTAAATCACATGCTGCTATTTCACTTTACCACCACCAAATTGGCAAAGATGACAAAATATGGGAACAGTCAGTGTTGGAAGGACTATGGGAAGATGCTGATGCACTATTAGTGGATATCCATTTGGAATCATGCAAGACTAGTGCAAGTGACT